GTATATTGTTGCCTTAGGATTACTCTGTGTGACCTACTTGTGTATTTTTTATTGTTCTGTTTTTCAAAATGTCTTCATATTTCAAAATTTGGATTTTCAACGGGAAATGAGATTTTTCAATTTGACAACAAAAGATGAAGGGTATTTTGGTCCAACAAAAGGTTACAAAAGCCATTGATGGCAAATTTTCGAAAATTTTTACAAAAACACAAAAAGAAGAATGTGATGAACTTGCGTACACTTCTATCATTTTACACCTGTCTGACACTATTTTGAGAAAAGTTGGAAAATTCGATTCTACCAAAGAACTTTGGAAAAAGTTGAAAGATTTATATTTGATTAAATGTACTCCAAATAAGTTGTACTTGCTTGAAACATTCTTTAACTTTAAAATGGATCCTTAAAAGGATCTAGATGACAATTTGGATGTTTTTAACAAGTTGGTGCAAGACATCGTTAACTGTGATGAGAAAGTGTCTGAAACATATAAGGTCATCATTTTGCTTAATTCTATGTCTGAGTCATATAGATAGGTTAAGAATGCGATTAAGTATGGTAGGGACACTTTAACCCCCGAGATTGTCATCGATTCCCTTAAGAGTAAGGAAATGAAGATTAAGGCTGAAAAAGAAGATGGGAAAACTGGTGAGTTGCATATGATGAGGAGTAGAATGAAGTTTAAGCAAATGAGTTTAGGTAGAGCTCAAGATAACAGTGATTCGAATAGTGACTCGAGTGATAATGGTGGTAAAGAAAAGAGCAGAAATCTCTCACCTCTCGGTTCGTAATAGATTCATTGAATAACTAGCCAAAGATTATAAAGCATTAAATTCATGAATAAAAACAACACATGTGCTAGAATCTTTAATAAAAGAAATAAATTGTCACACATAGATTACGTTGTTCACCTTAACTATGAATTTAGCTACTCATAATAAGAAAAGAAAAAACAAAAAATATAGAGCTCAATCGAGTTTTGAAATCTTAATCATGAAAAAACTGGAACTTATACCAAGAATTTTCTTCAACCTCAAAAGTTTTCAAACCCTAGCTTTTGCTCTCTGATCTTGATGATTATGCGTTTTTTTTCTTCCCCCCAAATTGTGTTATCTAAAGTTGTATTTATGTCTTCTTCGAGTTTTGGAAGAGCTTTAGTGGGATTGGGCTATTAAAAAGATGAATTGCACTTGAAAATCCTATTTGGCAGTGGGCGGAATACATGGCGCCGCGGCGCCGCGAATCTGCCCTTTATTCCCGAGTGGCACCTTTGAGCCACTGCTGCTCCAACTGTGCACATTTTTCATTATTTTTGTCATAACTTTCTCTTTCGATATTCGATTAAGGCGATTCAAAGTGAGTTAGAAAGATAACTCAAACGGCTACAACTTTCCTAGAGATAGCTTTTTTCCAATTCGAACGTTTATTATATCAAAAATGGGTCTCAATCTCCGGCTAAAAATCTGGAACATATTTGTGCAGTTGAAATTGATTTTTTTTTTTTTTATCATATTTCACTCCTTTTTGACTTCGAATTGCATCTAATTTACACCTAGCATTCTCAAATCTTCATCGTGAGGTTCGACACAACTTTTGAGTATTTACACTTTAGTCCACAAACTTTGGATGTTGCTCTTTTTCTTTAATTTTCGCTTCTTTCTTTCAATTCCACTTCATTTGATCAAGTTTCACCTAATAAACAAAATTTATAATAAATTAAGCTATAATTGTTCAAAAGAACTATTAAATGTCTATAATTTTAGGTCCAAATAAGTATATAAAATACACTTTTTTCTATCTATTTATAATTTAAACCGTCTGCAAACACTTCTTAAACATTCTCTTAATCTGTTCATATTTCGGCCCCTTCGTAAAATATTTTTTTTCTTATCTGCTTTGAGCAGATTGAAGTGTTGTGGAGCAAAGCGGAGAAACCACTGCCACCACTTCATCCCCTCCTGATCAAACCTCTACAGGTTACAAAAAATGTGCAGTTGATTATTTGTCATTTATCTTGGTTTAATGCAATGATGCATTAGCTTTATACTTATCGTGAAATTTACCTTCTTTTTTTTTCCTGGAAATTCTTGTGAACTTCAAGAGATGGGAAGATGAAGGGAAAAGACGTAAAATTTTATCAGAAAAGCATACTGGAGGTTCCAGGGCCAGCTCAGATCGGGAAGCACGTGTACAGGAGAAGGAAATGCGAAAGATGCACAGATCAAATAGGTATCCAAATGGTTTATTGTAGATGAAGAACTCACCAGTAGAACAGTACTAAACTTCTGGTTGTCAGTAATTATTTATGGTTGTATTGGAGTTTTTTGAATAACGCAAGGAACTGAATCTTTTTGAAATTCGATAAAAATATGATTCAGAATAACGTTTCCCATTTCATTCCTATGAATTCCATATTTGAAGTTTTGATCAATGTTCATTATCAATATCAGGGTAGCAAGAATGGAAAACCAGAATAAACACGGGAAATCATCAGAGATTCAGATTCTATACCAATGAACCCAGAGAAACAGGAAAAACAACCTCAGAAGCAGCAGGAGAAAAAGAATGCTGCCCAGGAAGAGCAATATTCTCAACAGGAACATTGCCGTCCCAAAACTTGTGGAGTGAGCATTCCGCAGCAGCTAGAAAGTTTGCTCAGAAAGCCGGACAATCCTTTAAATGCATATGTGCCACCAGAAAGGCTCCATCAGAGGCAACCTTTCACTATTGTGAACTGCCGTTTTCCGAGGAGCCCAAACAGGAATTTACAGTACAATAACTTCCTCTCTTCAAGGAGTCCAATTCGAGTGCAAACTCGAAGCTATACTGGAAACTACAATTATCCGCAGATTCCTTTACTAAGCCATTTTGAAAAAGATCGAAATTACAATACATAAGGAATTCATTACTGGGGCCTGGTACTATGAGCAAATTCAGTGCAAATTTATGCTCATCACAAGCAGAACTCGAACCATTTTTTTTGTGTATGTTGTGCAAAAAGGGAATCGCAGCATACAATAAAATTATAGAGAGATTGGAAAAACCAGAAAGTGTGCGTATTTTTCTTCCAAGTTAGGCTGCAATACCATTTTTTGTTTATAGGTTGCAGGGATTACTGTTTCGTTTTATTGTCAGATTTTTAGTTTTTGTTAATGGCTCATAAGGATTCAAGAGTACGTGAGATCGATATACAGTGAGATGACACTAAGCTCTGTTTTTAACATAACAGAAGGTAACCCGGTCGTCCAACCAAGGATACTCGGAAAATTCACTATAAAATTACTTGGCTCAAGGATGGATACGGAATAATGGAGTTCATAAGAAAATCAGTCACCGTTAGCTGATGTGCATATAACGCAGAACATGAAACAAAAAATGTAGATCTGAACATATAAAAATAAGAATGATGTTAACACTCCGATGCGAGTGCATATTTACATACATGGGCTTTCCTCTCTCCATATACTGTAGCTTTTGCTACCAAAAATACATCTTATTTTAGAACATCACAACCGAAAAATTGATCATTACATCGTCAACAATGAAACACAGTAGTGTGAGGAAGCCACCAATACAAATTCAAATTGATAGCTTTAGCCGGTAGGAATTCAGACCAGATAGACATCAGCTTTTCTAAAACAATAGCTCTCAAGATTCCATTGCACACGGAACTCCAAGTAATTTCCAGACGGAGAGCTGTCCAGTTGCATCACCAGTGAAAAAGAGACCACCAATGCCAATTTGAATCACTTGGACTTCGTCTTTCGAAAATATTCTGCCCCTTTCATTAAACCTACAACCATGTATATAAATAATCAGCAAACCAGCACAGAAGGGGTGACTAATATCAACAAGGATGATAATAGTTCGATAATACTAACGAGGGCAAGTCATATATGCGAACAGTATTGTCGCTATATGAGCAGAAAAGAATAGGCTGAGCTGCAGCGTCTGTCATCCCAAAAAGAGCAATAACCCCCTGAAAGATGTCACATATGTAGAATACGTAAGAAGTTTAGAAGATAAAAAGAGACAGAACAGGCACAGGTATGCAATAAAATGCACAAAATGCATTCCAGGGAAGTCATATAAGAACCATTTTTAACTTACATATTCTTCCTTGAGCTCATAGACCACTTCCAACTTCTCACTCTCAGTCGCAGCCCATACCTGTGAGGATGATCTTATTAGAACCATCAGGAACTAAAGCAACACCTAGCTACTAATTTATGGCAGTGAAGTGACGAACCTTTAATGTGTTGTCCACAGAAGCAGATAACAAATATCTGTCCCAACAAATGACAGATGTTACATCTCCGGTATGCCCGTGTAATGTCTGTATACACTGCAGCGTTTGGAGGTCCCAAACCTTGAAAAAGCATATACATGAGCAACATTCCTCAGTGAGTTCAAAACATTGGACTAAAAAGAGAAGGAATCAAAAAAATGGAGGAGCAATTAAAAAAAAAGGTTGCAAGGACTCCATCTCAGACAACAGGTGCTCGAAAAATAACTTGGGGAGAAGACAAAATAAAAGACTAGACAGATCAAAACAGTGGTCCTAATAGTGTCAACATGACTGATAATTGCAAACATAAAGGGCAATTGTTTCCGTTTCATATATGACATGAGCCAATAAGCCAACATGGGTAAATTGGCGACATATATAAACAATTCATCTCTACCATCTACTGACACAGATTATAAACACATTCAAACGTAAGAAGTTGTAAGTCTCCTGGCAGAGAGCATACCCGTATGGTATTGTCGGATGAACCCGAATAAAGCCTGTTATTAGCTCCCACAAGAAGTGAACACACAGCACCATTGTGTCCCTTCATCGTTGCAGCCAGTTCAGGAATGTTAGTTTCAGTACCCCATTTCCATGCTAATATGGTACCTTCCTGGAGCCATAAGATACATGAAAATGAGAAACCAGAATATGGTTAATAGTCAAGAAGAAGATGAGAAATTTCAGTGAATAACCTTTTCCCAAATCTTCCTCAGCTTATACAACTAAACTGCACTAACTAATGCGCTCACGATATTATAGGGATCCAAAATCACACACTTAAAAATAACAAAACACAGGAGCTCCAAAAGTAGTTACCTCTGTTCCAGCAAAAAGCATATTATTGTCCACAACCATAGAATAAACTTGCCCAACAGGTTCACTAAGAAAGAGTTCCGTTTGAGCTTGTAAATTCCATCCCTAAATGACCAAAAATCCATAAGTAGAAAGAAACCAAGTTCAACAAGTGTATTCTGTCAAGGTAACATGTAACTAACTACGTAAAGAACATTAGTTACCTTAATAGCATTAGGCAATCCAGCAAACAGCCATGGACCTTCACTAATCAAGCACCCAACTTCACCATCGAGATCAACAGCACCAGCACACTGCATTGAGGTTGAATAATCATTTTATGGATCACACATCTGATTCACCCAATGTGACATTTTAACAGAGAGATACGTAAAAGTATCCATACCTGACCACTGTTGCAGTCCCAAATGCGGAGAGTTCTATCTTTACTAACAGAGTATAGCTTGTCAGAACCTGATGGGAGAGAAATTCCAGTAATGTTCTGTACAAAATTCCATTAGAAAGAAGTATTGTTAGTATTGAATGCAATAGTTTGTTTAACCATTTAATAAAATCTGTATAAAAGAAGAGCAGTTCCAACAGGATTGCAAAAACATAGGGAAATTACTAACAGAATAAATATGATTCGAAAATAATAAAAAGCACTTTTATCAGATTAACAACCACCTTAGTGTGCCCCTGTAACTTCGTCAACATCGTGAATCCAGATCCACAGAACCAAGAGTGTAGGTCCAACGTGAATAGCGGTACCTGTCAATTGTCTGTAACCCAGTGCTTGCATAGCCTTGGCAGGGTTTTTTGAACAGATTTACTATCACATTCAACAGCTTCAGAGATCTTTTGTACGATTCGCTTGCAGTGGATACTTCCATTGGAGGTTATGACCGTTTCTTGGTCCTCCTGATCAATTTTTCTTCCATTCTTTGCTAGGACCTCTTGTTGGGCAACTTCACCACTTGTTCGCTTGGGTCCATCTCCTCCGTTAGTTAAAACTGTACCATTCTTGGGAGTGCAGAAGTTAGGATTCTTCCAGGTCTTTCTGCTAGATTTTAGGTAATGACTCTCAAGTGATGCTGAATGGTTCTTCCTAGTTTGTGGGGGTGATTCCCTGTGCATGAACCTGCATGGATCACGATTGCATCTCCCAGAGAGCCAGTAGACGCAGACCTTGTTTTTTGCAAATTCCCCTTCAAGTCGATTGAAGATAGATACTTTCCTTGCAGCCTTGACCTCCATTATAATACTATACACACAATAAATCACAGGTTAATCAAAGCAGTCCAAACTTGCCTCCATTCAGACAATAATCTCTTTCTTGCCAACATAGGAAATCCAAATGCAAAATTACAATTCAGTATACCCATCAAATTCAAATTTCTGATGGGGTTTATGCTAATGAGATAACGTTGCCACAAAGGAACAAGTATCCCAATGTGCAAAAACTGATCTCTAAAATCCAACCACTAGAATACCATCTGTGGCTGTCTCAACCAACATCTGAGATTCTACTAACAAATACTAAATAAAATACCTCCAGCAGATGAAAAGAACATATAAAAACCTGTAAATCAGAACCATATTCGAGAGAATAGTCAAACTTCACTATAGCCAGGAATTTCTCAGAAAACCCACTTTTCATGTAGCAGAAACCTTATATTTCTGATTCTGTAAAACCCAAGATAAATGCAAGAAAACCCACCTACTGTTGAAGATCCAACTCCAACTTATTGACCGATTAAAAAACCTACAGAATTCGATTCCTAAATGGGAAACAACAATTAACAGATCTTCTCTAACAACCACATTGTGTAGAACTCCTCATACTTAAACTGGCTTGTAGATGGAGGGTACCCAATTGGTTATAATTCCAGAAACTGTGGTGAAACACAATTCGAGTTATTACATTACACCCCTCCTTTCAAATCTGGGGTCCAAGTCAGCCCATATCCCCGCTGACCTCACGGAACCAGTCTTCTACTAGGAGTAGCCTTCTCCATGTTTCCCAAAAGGAAGGATGCATACTTTGATACCAATTGTAACAACCACATTGGTAGAGATGACACTTAAAAATTATCTTATAAGGGACGGATTCCCATTGGTTATCAACCCACAAATCAAGCCTTAGCGTAGGGATGTAGAGTTAGAGTCCTTAGATCTTCATCGTAGCCAAGACCGTCCAATAAGATCCTCGGAATAACCCACTTAATCCGTATATTAGAAACCTTAATTTCATAAATTTTCCCAAACCGACGAGTGCCAAAAATCCAAGGACATATAAAACGAGAAAAAGGTCCTAAAGTTTGGAACCCTAAAAATCCACCAATGAAAATCAGAAGAAATCGATCCAGTCATTGTGAAAAAGGGACCGGATGATTGTCGAAGACCCATCAATGGTGGTGGATGAATAGATGGACTGATTGCAAAACAACAAAATCGAAAACCCTAAATGCGTAGATACATAACAGAAATCTAGAAATAAATGTGAAATAGCAAACCTGATCGATCAAATCAAAAATCAAAAAAAGTGAAATATCTCTTCCGTAGATCGAAATAATAATCAAGATTCCAATTCGCTGAGATTTCTTGGAGAAGAATTTTTGGTGTAAAATTCCAATTCGTTGAGACTTCTTGGAGGAGAAATTTTGGGGGTAAATAATGTTGTATGTCGGCGTGTTTACTGTTTAGGACCTGAATTTATAGGTGAAAGGAGGTGGTTTATCAAAGTTACTAATTTGCCCTTTCCCACTAAGCCCTTTTGACACATATGACCTCAAAATACATTCTTTCAAAACTTATTTATTTTTCAATGAAATAATATTTTTCATCACATCAATAATATTTTCTTACTTTTTAATCACATATTTCTCATCATATCACTATTTAAAATGGATTATTTTCTCAATAGTATTCATCGAACACCCTTTGAAGTTACTAAATTGCATTCAAAATTTGAAAATTGATTATAGTTTGTATCCACCCTTCAATCATGCACGAATTTACACCACGAGTGATACGATAACTTTGCTATTGAGGTTTCATACGGGAATGAATGAAGTTCAAAGAAAAAAGGAAACTTCCCTACAAATGAAAAGAACAAATTAGGGCTCGTATGGGAGTGATTAAAATCAGATTAAAATTGAAAATATAGCCGTTATTGTTGACTTTTATTAGACGAGTGGGACCCAATAACGGTCATATTTTCAATTTTAATTGGCTTTTAATCCCTCCCGAACGGGGCCATAGTATAGGGGANTACCTTTTTCCTGTGTCTCTTTAATGCTAGGCCCCATTCGTTTCCTACCGACTTAGTGGGAAGCTCTCTTTGTACTGGTTGACTCCTCGAGTCTTCGTCAAGGAGATTACTTCTGCTTACTTAATGAGGGATTTACTCCTTTTTCAAATTCCGTACACTTCTGTTGTCATTAATTTGTTCTTTTCATTTGTAGGGAAGTTTCCTTTTTTCTTTGAACTTCATTCATTCCCATATGAAACCTCAATAGCAAAGTTATCGTATCACTCGTGGTGTAAATTCGTGCATCGAACACCCTTCAATCGCTTAATGATTATTTACATAAGAAATCTTGAAAAATATTTCTATAAATAAAAGTATTCTCGGTTCACGTCTTTAATTTTTATTTTTATTTTTATTTTCTACGTTGAACTCAATTTATTATTTATTTTAGTTTTATATTGAGAATAAATTTTTTAAAATTCATCAACTTTAAAATGTATTTATTAGTTAATATTCCAAGTATCTCATTTTAGCAAATATTTTGTCGAGTTTTTATATAGCCCTTGTTTGAGCCTCATTTTTCTTCCATCAAAATGCATTATTCAATAGTGATTTGATCACAATTTCAACTATAAATTCTTCAATAAAATAATATTATACGTAAATTCAAAAAAAATATATTTTTTAACTATACGTTCTCTATCATAACATTATTGCAAAATTCATTTTTTGACAAAAAAAAAAAATGAGGCTCACATTTTTTTATTTTTTTTGCACCACATTTTTTTGGAGCTTAAAATTCACAATCTTTGTCCATTGTTGAACTTAAGTCCTTAACTTTCTTTCCATGCTTTTTTATCTTACAACCTCTCATTAATTAGCGAATCTTGTGTCCAAAAAATCAATTTGAAGGATATAATTGACTTTTTAGCCCATCATATTACTAAAAAATAATAAATACAAAAGAGAAACAATTTTTTTCCTTATTTTATTTGAAAAACACATAAATTATTTTGACAAGAACCATCATGGAGGACAGAATATATTATTAATGAACGGTTGAAAATAAAAACTCGACAAAAACAATTTATACGCAAGTGTTGTATAATAAGGAAAAATTGGGGACCTCAAGTATAATTGAAATCTAGTGCGAATAATAAAAAGTATCATGAGATTGTATCCTGACATATCGTGAGAATGTATCCATGGAAATTCTGCCCTTCTTTAACTCGACTATCAAACGAGAATTTTTTTCATTAGTAAAGCTTGCAACATAACGACAATGAAAAATTGGCCATTCTATCTACATTTGTTCAGTCTTGTTGGTACTTGTGTGGTTATTCCATCTATTACGTTGTAACCTCCGAATTCTACACTGAAGACATCTTTGGTCGAACACATAGCTAGCCACGAAATCCAATAGAACATACGAATTCCAAAATTCATGGAAAAATACTCCCAAGATTTTAATTTGGCCTAGAGATATTGTACCTCAGAAGTTGGTCATTCGAATTTCAAATGGTAAATGCACTAGAAAAATATTTCGAGTGTGTTTGAGCCACATTATTTTGAAAGAATGTATTCTGGAATAGTAGATTGGTATAAAATTTGTGATTGAAAAAGAAAGAAAATTTATTGATGTGATAAAAAATATTATTTTATTGAAGATTGTGTGGTTGAAAATTAGTAGAAGAATGAAAATGAAAATTTTAATGTGTATCAAACAGGGCTTTCATAGCAAATCTTTCATCAAATGATGATAATATTTGAGTCTTGACATCAGATAACAGAAGGTAAATCACTCTGTACACTGCTAACCAAGCCCTTACATGATAAAACAAGGACTTTTTTAAATTTAATGGTGGTTTCATACACATGAGACGTTTTAAATTTAATGGTGGTTTCATACGCATGAGACGTACTAAAAGTCTGCTGGAAATGTAGCCAGATGAGAACTCTACATTACTAGATAAAGGGCAATGGTGGCCTATGGCCTTCACCTTCTTTCATCCATTCCTTGATCACTGCCAGTGTAAAAGTTATTAGTATAGAGGGTAATGGTGGCTTATGACCTTCACCTTCTTTCACCCATTTCTCGATCACTGCCATTGTAAAAGTTCTTAGTACACCAGTTCAAAATTCTACACCCCGCTTGCTCATCAAGAAATGGACTCCTTGTGCTCCATCTCTAGTATTGAGTACTCCCTCTCAAATAATAAAAATTCCTGCAAGCACATTCAAGAATATTAGTCAGATGGCTTGAGTTGTGGCACCAATGAATATTTAGGAACATCTGCAAACTGTGATTCTGCGATAGGTTATTGTGCTGTAAATTTGAAGATTCTTACAGTTGGAAAGGTATAAATTACTTCCACAAATACCTCTGTGTGGTTGAGATGGGAACAGAAATAGAATCGAATTCCTATCATTGCCCAGATATCTATAGCAAATCTCCAGATGCGGACAACATTTCCACCCCAAAACCAGAAGAATCAAGAAAGAAAGAGAAGCACCAGCATCCCCAATAGGCCAATAGTTAATTAAAAAGGAAAACTGATAATGCTCAAATCTAGAATTTTAATGTTATTTTATTAACAGAGATCTAAAATGATTCAAATCATATTAATGATTTAAATATGAGTAACTACGATTGTCTCACCCAAGCTTTCAATTTATTTGTCCAGTTGCACAATCACTCAGCTACTAAGCAAATTTTAAACAGGTTTCCAATTATTTCAACTCTCTGTGTGCCCTCTAGAGGATGAGGATCAACAAGGAGACTCCCAAAATAATCATCAAATTAAACCAAATTTTGGAAGACCAAAAAAAAAAAAAAA